CAAACGGTTGCTCTGACCTGCTCGCAACATGAGATGGGGCGGACGGAGAGAGAAGAGGGATGAGGAGAAGGGAGAGGGCGAGAGGGAGAGGAGAGTAAATTGGAGGACGAGGTGGAGGGCAAATCGCGCGGGAGACGGAGGTAGAAGGCGAGAGATAGAGTTGATGATGACGATGATGAGGATGATGATTATGATGATGATGATGTTGGTGCTGATACTGATGCTGATTATGCTGATGATAATGGTGATGATGATGGTGATCATGTAATGATGCTGACGATGATGATGCTGATGATGCTGCTGATGATACTTCTGCTGATGATGATTCTGACGATACTGATGGTGATGATGCTGATGATGATAATGATGCTGATGATGATGGTGGTGATGATGCTGATGATGACGGTGATGATGGATCATATTGCTGCTGCTGATGATGATGGTGTTGACGATGATTTTGCTGATTATGCTCCTGGTGGTGGTTCTTCTGATGATGCTGATTATGACGATAGTGATGGTCATGATGCTGATGATGATAATGATGCTGATAATGACAGTGATGATGATGATGCTGATGATGACGGTGACGATGATGCTGATCATACTGTTGCTGCTGATGATGTTGATGACGAGGGTGATGGTGATGATGCTGATGATGCTGCTGATGATGATAACGACGATGCAGATGATGCTGACGATGACGGTGATGCTGATGATGATGATGACGATGATGATGCTGATGATGCTGATGATGATATGGTTGATGATGTTGATGCTGATGATGATATCGATGATACTCGTGATGATGATGGTGATCGTGTTGATGATGATGATGATGATGATGATGACGATGATGATGATGATGATGACTATGAGGCCGATGCTGATGATTATGATGATGTTGATGGTGATCATGATGCTGATGATGATTCTGATGATATGCTGTTCATGATGATTCTGCTCATGCTGATGCTGATGCTGATGATGATGATGCTGATGATGATGCTGATGATGATGATGATTATGATGATGATGAGGATGATGATGATGATGATGATGATGATGATGATGATGTTGATGATGATGATGATGCTGATCATCATGATGATCATCATGATGATGATTACGATGATGATGTTGATGATGACGATGATGCTGCTGATGATGATGAGGAGGAGGAGGAGAAGGAGGAGGAGGCTCGTGCCGAACGCTCCAGCCTAGATGCTTACGCCTGCCCAGCGCAAAAAATAGGAGTCTCGTGTCTGTGCTCATTGTTTGAGCGCCCATTCCTGGAGCTGGCGGCCAAATGCGAGCTGCTCTGGGGCGAAGTGGTCGAGCTCGCCCTTCTGCGCGCCTCGCAAGACCGGCTTGCAGAGGCCAGTGCGATTTCTCCGCATCGTGGAAAGATTCCTCTCGCTTCGCGGGGTGCACGTCCAGAGCGCGTACAGTCCAGTCGTTGCGGGGCCTGGTGGGAGCCTTCTCGGGGGGTTTGAGGGGGGATGCAGTAGAACATATCACAAAACGCGATGTAGCAATGTCGCAGTCATTGGATGCATTGGATACGTTGCGTTGAGGCGTTCGCCGGAAAACGCTGCCGCTCAGCACGCCACCTCCGGACGTGGATTCCTCCCGGTTCGCGGGGTGCACGTCCGGACTGCGGAGGGCACGGGGTGCACGTTCGGACTGCTGAGAGCATGGGCGTTCGGGTTTTCCTCTGAGTGTTCTGGAAGCTTCTTTGGGACCTCTTGGGGGCCTACTGGGGCCTCTTGGGGGGCCTATTGGAGTCGGACAGGGCCAGGACAAGGATCAATCAGTTCCAGAGCGTTCCTGAACGCTCAGAGCGTTCCGGAATGCTCTGAGAAGGCCTTCGGCGCCCGAAACGTCCTCCAGAGCCGCCGGATCTCAAAGTTCTCGATTGATCCTCACCTGATGTTATCCTCGTCCTGGCTTCGCCTCAGGGGGAGGGGCTGATCACGTCACGAGTCGCACCCGCGGAGGGTTGGCGGAGGGGCCTACGGAGGCCAGTGCGGCTTCCGCGTCGTGGAAAGATCCAAGTGGCTTGCGCAAGTTCCGCCGACCTCCAGGCCACGAGCGTTGAGCACCACCAACACCACCACCAAGGGGGTCTGGCCGCTCCCCCTCTCCGAGCTGGTTGCACCCCAGGCGGGGGGCGCCCCCGGGGAGTGCCCAGACCGGAGTGCCACCAGCTCGGTGGGGTGGTGATGGAGCTCTATGGAGCTCTAGTGGTATTGGCTCTTTTTGCTCTCTTTCATCGTGGGAGTTGTCGAGTGGCCCTCTGGCCCACCCGCCACCTTGCCTGTGCTGGTTGAGGAGACTCCTGGTTGCCCCCTCCCCCTCCAACTTGTGGTGGTGGTGGTGGAAGACAGGCCCATCAGAAGAAGCGGCATACGCACAAACTTTTGGAGCTCCGCGTGGATTTCTTGGCTCGGCGCCTGGGGCCCGCTGGCGGCGCCTGGGGCGCCGTCCCTGGCGCGCTCCGCGCGCTCCTGGTCTTCCTTCTTCTGGCCCGCCCTCCCGTGGGCCACTGCCCACCTTGCCCCAGGTTGGAGAATCGAAAGCCCAACGCGCCGTTCGATTCGCCCCCCCCCCCCCCTCCCCCGGGGGGCCCGACGGGAGGGGAACTGAGTGGGGGACCTATCCAACACGCCGTGGACCCTCCTTGAGAAGTGAAACACCAAGTGGTCGGCGGATTCGCAGGCCTGCGTTCTCAAGCCAGGTCTCGCGGGGACGCATCCCCATCGCAAGAAGTGGCGTGCCAAGGTGCTGCCTACCTCGCTTCCAGCATAATTCGCAGTCTTTCGCAGCGTTGATCTCCGGTGTCTGGTCCTGCGCGGTGCCTGCCCGCGGCCGACCGTGGTCTCCGCTCGGTGTAGCTCCTGGAGCCTCACTCCCTCTGTGGTGTTTTCCGCTCCAGGCTGACGCCCACCGCCCCCCTGTCTTTGGATAGAGCCTGCGAGGTGGTCTCGGCTGCACTGCTGGGCTGGGTTCGGCCTAGGAGCTGATCCTGCTCAGGAGACTCTGGGGCGCCCCGCCAATTCGGCCGCCCCCCCCCCCCCGTTCCTTCGGGTTCGGTTGGTTGGGGTTGCTGGACTTGGACCCCTCTTCCTGCGCCTGGGAATTCACCGCATGCTCTGTGCACGCACTGAGCAGTCCAGCACCCTGGTGACGGTTGGCTGCGGTGCAAGGTCGGCCGAGCCTGATTTTTTCCCAAGCGATGTTTGAAGGGCCAGGGGATGATGGGCTGTCTCTGCTGGGCTATGCTGTCTGCCGACGAAGCGAGTCCTCCTGGAACCAGCTTCTGATGCCGAGCTAGGCATGCTGATCGCCAGCGCTGCCTCCAACGTACATTTGGGGCAGCTCGCGGTCACAGCGTCGCCAATCGTCCGCGTGGTAGTAGGTGTACCGCGCTGCCTCCAGTGTACACCTGGGACAGTGAGTCGGCTTTGCACCTCCGATAGTCAGGATGTGAAGTATTCATTGCACAGGCGTGCCTCTGAGCCGATTTGTAGGATGCGTTCCTAATTCTACCCGTCGGTCTGTAGTGGTTGCCGTCGTGGCAGTCTCAGCGTCGCAGTCTTCTGATACTTACAGCCAGAAGCGCTCTCATCCTACCTATACGACAACCGTTCGCGTGATAAGTAGGTTGTGTGGGGGAGGAACCAACTGATGACAACTTCGATGAGGCACTATCGGGACACTCTAGGGACAAAGAAAAGTCACCATCCGGGCACCATCCGGACACCATCGGGACACCATCGGGAAACCATTGTGGTCTATCCGTCCACTATTTGTCGATCCATCTCACTGCCAGTCTCACTATTGGTCTCACTATAGGCCTCTCTATCGATATTATTATTTGGTCATCGACCCCACCCACCATCGGTTTCCCAATCGATCTCGCTATCGATTTCGCTACCGATCTCTCTATCGATTGTTTCATCGATCTCTCTATCGGTCTCACTAACTGCTTGTCGATCTCGCTATCGTTCTCACTATCGATCCATCTGTCTAACGATCGGCTTCACTATCTTACGATCGGTCTCAGTATCTGTTTATCGACCTTACTTTTGAGTCTCATCGTCGGTCGCCTTATCATCCTATCAGTCCCCCAATCATTCGGTCTTGTTATCCATCTCACAAACGATTCCACTACCGATCGATCTCAATATCGGTCGGTTCATTACCGGGGCTTGCCTCGCCCATGCGAATAACATTTTTTCTAGCCAACAATTGTTGTCATCGGTGTGTGCCAGAATCGGTATATACTTGAATTTTCCGTGGGGTTCTGTCAGTTTTCAGTGTGTACCAATCTTTCGGTTTGGGCGTACATTCAATTTTTTCACTGGCGACCAACGTGGAAACGGCCGTCGTCAGCGCCAGATCCTGCCCCTGCCCAGTCCCCGCTGCCGGGCAGGCTTGCAAGACCTTTTGGGTAGGGACGCCTCCCCTGGCATTGGGCGTTCTGGAAACCTTTTGTGTGCTTCTTGTGGCCTTACATGGCCTCCACGGGAATTCGGGACACCCTCAGGACTTTCCGGATAAGGCTTGAGGTCCCTGGGAGACACCCTGGGGTTGTCACTTCGGGCGCCCGTGAAAATTGCAACTCCTAGGGCTCTCTTGAGACCCTCCTTGGGGCCTCTCTGGAGGCGTCTCGTGGGACTTGGGAAGGCCTCGAAGGGGTGCCACAGATGGTCAATCTTGCCTGGGCCGACGAGGAAGAAATGACATAAACATAACCTTTCGTAGCTCCGCGCGGATTTCTTGGATCGGCGCTGGGCCCCCCTGGCGGCGCCTCTGGCGCTGCCCCTGGTGCGCTCCGCGCGCCAGGGAGGGAGGTCCAGCGCGGATATGAGAATTCTACGCGGAGCTTCAAGAGTCGATGCTTATGCCGTTTCTGTTCCTTCCACGTAGTCGATCCAGCTGCTCGTCAGACGCCTTCGGTATACTGGGAGTTCACCAGTCCTGGCGCCCCCCGCCAGGATCCGAGGCGCCGACCCAGCCATCATCGCCCGGCTGGTCGCGCTGGAGGCCGCGGTGGCATATGCGTGTCGTCGTCGTCGTCGTCGTCGTCGTCGTCGTCGTCGTCGTCGTCGTCGGAGGAGGAGGAGGAGGAGGAGGAGGAGGAGGAGGAGGAGGAGGAGGAGGAGGAGGAGGAGGCGGAGGAATAGGAGGAGGGGGAGGAACAGGAGGAAGAGCAGGAGGAGAGGAGCAACAGGAGGAGGAACAGGAGGACGGGGAGGAATGGAGTCAGGGAGAGGAGGCTCCCCGGGTCCCTGGCGACACGACGAGATCGCGTTCTCGGCGCCCGGAGAGGCCGCTCCTGGAGCCCCCCCCGCGGCCCGTCGACGCAGCAGCTCACGACAAGAGGCCAGTCCCGGGGAAGGCCTCGTGAGCTCTCCAGGGCCCGGCGGCTCGAAGAGAGCGAGTCGGTTGTGGTTAAGGTCTGGAGCGGGTGGCGCCATTCGAGCGGCGCGAGAAGCGGGGTCGTCCGCGCCGGCTGCCCGCCGAAGCTCGCGCGCGAGCGCCTTCGTTTCCAAAAGATAGCGTGCCGCGCCGGCGGCCCGCGTGAGCCACAGCGTAAGGTCGCTACGCCATCTCGCGTAAGAGCCGATTTTGATCGTCGCTCAACTGTTCAACTATACCGATTCTGGCCAGGTGAGTCCCGGGCCAGCGAATCGTCGGGAATCTACTGACCCGAGTCGATCGAAACCCGTGTCCGTCGGGCTTATTTCAGGATCCTGCGGGATCCTGCAGGATCCTGCGCCCTGGCCCGGGTCAGTGCAGCCCTGGCCCTGCAGGATCCTGCAAGCCGTGGTGCTCTGGCTGACCCGCTGTTTGCATTGACCCTCGTCCCTTGAGCCCCGAAGACGGTTGAGGTCTGGGCCTGGAGCCAGTGACGCCAACTGTACGCCTACACCGATTGTGGACAGACGGTCCGGAAGTACTCGCAGCCCAGGTCGGCCTGGCCAGGAGAGGTGTGAGTGCATACCTGGCACTCTCTGATCAGAGTTTCAAGACCCCGCTGCTGCTGCGGCTCCTCCTGGCTCATCCTCCATCTCCTCCTCATCCTCTCATTGCAACCTTCCCATATTTTTTTTTACGGGAGTTTGCCGCAGGGTCAAGAACTCATCTGCGTTGGGTCATGATGCATGGGCTCGAGACTGGAGGGCTTGTTCCGCAACTAGGCAGGCCTTGGGGGGGCCTGGAGACTTACTGCCTACTTTCGCCGCTTCCTGACTACAGGTGCCCTTGGCGGATAATCCTCTCCCATGCTCGTGCCCCTCCCGCTGGCCATGTGTACGTGCCAGCTCGCGTCCAGGCACATCGCGTAGCCAGCTTTGCCGAGGAAACCCATTCCGGGCATGCTGGGTCGCGTGTGGCGGTCCTCTCACCTCTCCAGAACAATTGCGCTGTGAAGCGATGGGCCGCGTCCAGCGCACATCGCGTTCCGAGCGTTGTCGGCAGGACGCTCACCCTGAGCATACAGGCTTGCGTCCCGCGCACGTCGCGCTTCCACGGTGCCAATGTTCAAGGGAGGAAAAACCATTCGGACCGGACAATTGGCGTGTACGAAACGGCCCTGGGCGTTTATTAAACAGCCCTGCCCTGCTTGATTCCTTCTCTGGGCGTTTGCGAAACGGCTTCGCGTGTCGGGGTGGATTTTGGTCGGGGTGGATTTTCTGCCCTCCGAAAGGCTGCTGCCCGTGTCACAGCCAGGACAGCCTGTTCCGAGCGTGCCGGCTCGCTTCCGTCGCGCATCGCCTTTGGAGCGTTGGCGGGGAGCTCACCTCGGTCGTGCCAGCCCGTTCGCGGTGCACATCACGCGCGCTTGCGGCCTGCCTGCATCGTGTTGCCAGCGTTGTCGCCAGGCAGCCCGAGCGTGCCAATTCGCTTCCAGGGGCACTTCGCGCAGCACGGCGTTGCCGCCAGCGTGGCTGCCAGGCAGCTCGCCCTGAGCGGGCCGTCTCGCTTCTGGCGCACACTCGACCACCAGCGTTATTTACAACAACCTTACTCCGACCAAGGTCGCAACAAGTCGTGCTCAGTGTCGTTGCCCACAGAGCGTGTATGGCCATAACACCTAGGCTGGGTGCTTCTGGGGCCAATGCCGCATCAGATGTCTGGTTGTGTGTTTCTGCTTTTTTACGCGGCGGCATCGGATCACCGGCGACGCCCTCGCTGGGAGGATCGACGGCGGGCCTAGCCCTACAGCGTGAACGGCGCTTGGGCTCCACCCCTGCGTTCCTCTTTGCGTGCCATCGGATCAACAGCAGCGGGCGCAACGTGAGGATCGATGGTTTCTCAGCCTTGCAGCCTCGACGGCGGCGCCCTCCGGGCCCCGCAGCCCCCGTTCTCGTCCGTGGCCTCGTGCCATGGCATTGCGTGCCGCCGCCCCCCTCCGCTGGCTCCCTCGGGGAGACCCCGCTGCTGCCTCCGCCAAGCACCGCTGCAGACCCCCCCCAGCGTTGCCCGCTGCCCGCAGCGGCCCCTTGGGGTTAAGTCGGGCCTGTCCTTCTACAGGAGGAATCTTCAAACATGGTCAACACATAGAATGGGAACGTGTTTTGTGTTGTTTTGTTTATATTTGCAATAATTGTGGAGTAGTTTAGGATATGTCGTCCAAAATCCCCTGTTAGGTTGGCAGCGGAGCTGGGAACGATTCAGTTCGCGATCCACGGAACGTGCGAAGAGTGCGGTGTGGACGCACATTCGCATTTACCTTCACCTCCGCATCGGTACCACCCTCCATTCTATGAGCAGCCTGTGCTCATGGCTGTTCTGCAAGCCAGCCGGCAGCTCGTCTCGGGCATCTGGTCCGACTGCGAGGCCAACAGCAGAAGGCGTAATTGCGATGAGGAACGACCCGCCCACAGGAGCGCCACGACGTTCCTCGACCCACCGTAATCCCGCAGGCACTGGCCGCAGTTTCGCGTCGGGCATGACAGCGAGGCTCCATCTTTGGCTAGCGCCGTGCCGCGGTACGTGTGCGATGGTGCTGGCTGTCCTTTTTAGCACATCGCGCCACCCGAGTGGAACACCGCAGGTCAATGTACCAGTTTCACCGACCTCGGCTTCGAGCAAGGTTGGCAACGGCACCATCATAGCTGCCCCGCACTTGGACATGTCGTTCGCCCCTGCGCCAGCCCAAGTCCCAAGGCGCCTACGCAACCATCATCGTGGTGAGGTCTTACCGAAGAGGGTCTCCATCTTGACGCTGTGGAGCAGCATCCTCGTGTTCTTCGTGGCCGTCCTGTTCTGGCTCGCCGGCATGATCCCTGGTGGAGCCGGCCAACGGCGGCGGCGGCCGCGGTGCCATCACTTCGCGCCAACCGCCCTCGTGTTCACTGGAGCGCGAGTCCGTGTATCCCTTCCGCCACTGGGTACAGGACTTGCTCGTGTGGGGCGCGCTGGCCACCGACATGGGCAGCGCTCAACAATGCGCTGCCATCATCCTCAACTCCGGTGGGGTCGCTCGCGAGCTCACGCGTTCCATGAATTTGCCTGATATGTCGGAGGGAGGCATGGTCAACGGCCAGCAAGAGGACGCCGTGACCGACCTCATCGCGAACGTCGCCACAGAGTTAGGCCCACTAGGCGAGCAGTCGCGTTTCCAGGCAACCCACGAACTCTTCGAGTTCTCGAGCCGATGCAACGGAACCAACGACGCGCTGTTCTCGTGGCTTCTCACGCTGCGATTCCGAGCTGCGCGCAACGGTGGGGCTGCGATGTCGTGGGGAAGCTACAGCTGGCTGCTTCGAACGGCCCGTGTCGCAGCTAATTACCCGACGCATGACGTTGCTCCAGCCATACGACAACCGATACCAAGCCACTGGGGCCGAGTTCAACAGTGTCCCGATTTTGGTCAGGCGCGTGGGTCACATCGTGGAGCATGCACCAAACAACAACGCCAGAGCCCAGTGCCCTTCGTACGCCGCCACTGTTCGCAGGATTCGTGGGCATGACCAATGACAAAAGTAACGATGAACATGGCCCCTGGCGCACTCAAGGGCTCGACCCCTGGGCTGCCAGTGCCGCCGTGTTTCCTGGAACCCGAGGCGCCCTGGCGTGCGATACCGGCCCGTCGCAGAGCGCCGTTGCCGCAGGCAACATGCCTTGCCGCCGCGCGGGCGCCCGCGCACGGGGCCGACTGCGACAGCGGGACCTCCTCTGACGCAAACTCGGGCCCAAGCGGAGAGGTCAACTACCAAGCGCCCAAGCTCCAAGGCCGCAGCCCTGCTCAGATAGATGATCAGTTGTTCTGGCAGACAAATGCAACGTCCTATTCATGAGGTGCGTAAGTGGTATCGGCAGAAGGTGTGGTTTCACGCTGCAGGCGTGGTGGCAGACGGCAGTATGGGGTGGATGATGAGCTTGTTGCCGTCGCACAGGAGGCCGGTCTGGGGTGCGCGTTTTTTTTTTTTTGCGTTCTCCAAGGCGACGTTTGGAATTTGTGTTCAGATCCGAACGAGGTGGAATACGCCCGAAGCCTGACCCTCTCCCTGTCGCCTGAGACACTACTTTCCTTGCACACAACCACTAACGAGAAATTTGCGTGAACGTCGGGCCACCCGCGTTGCTTTGGTCGCCTCTGCGGAAGGGCTGGCTTCTCTTGGGGGGTCTGCCCCGAGCCCACGCACGGCCATGAGAGGAGTGTGTGTGTGTGTGTTTGTTTGTTTGTTTGTTTGTTTGTTTGTTTGTTTGTGTGTGTAAATGTGTGTGTATGTGTGTGTGTGTGTGTTTGTGTTTGTGTTTGTGTGCGTGCGTGCGTGCGTGCGTGTGTCCGTGTGTGTGTGTGTGTGTGTGTGTGTGCGTGCGTGCGTGCGTGCGTGCGTGCGTGCGTGTGTGTGTGTGTGTGTGTGTGTGTGCGTGTTTGTTTGTGTGTGTGTGTGTGTGTGTTTGTGTGTGTGTGTGTGTGTGTGTGTGTGTTAGCGTGCGTGCGTGCGTGCGTGCGTGCGTGTGTGTGTGCGTGTGCGTGAGAGATAGGGGGGTTCAGTTCAGCCATCCCCGGAGGCTTGGGCTTGTCCTTTCGACCGTGCCCCGCCCGCCCTGATATCGTCCAGCCCTGGCCACCTAGTCCGCTCTTGAAGAGCGGTTCGCAGTTCGTGCTGCAGTTAACACGGATAGTAAGGATGAGCGTTTTTTCAAGGTCATTGTGCCTCCTTCCCCGTCGGTCCATTCTTGGCCACTCTCGCTGGCCGCGCCCCGCTCGAAAAGTGTCGACATGGCCTTTCAGGGCGTGCATCCCTAGCGTGCGTCCTCAGAGAACCCGTAAAACATCGACCGGTTCGGTGCGGACTGGGTTGAACATCGGACGGGTTCTCGCCAGCTCAGTTCGGTTCGATTCCGGAGCCGTCTTGCGTTCTTTTCGCATTCAGGGGAGGGGGGCTCGTGTTTCTTCCCCCCCGAGGTGCCCGGAGTGGCGCGGCCGCTGAGAGGCGTCTTCCAGCGGGGCTACATGTCAGCTGCGCAGCGCCTGGGCGTCGGGTGGCGGTGGGATGTGGGACTTTGTTATGTGAGGGCGGTGGCTCAGAGGACGGAGGTGTGGATAATGAGGGCGAGTGGGTGACGGGGATGGTGGGAGTGTCGCAAGTCCCGTGATCTGGCATCATCCGATCTTGAGAGCGCGGTTGAGCAGTGTTGCCCTCGCGCGGCCGCTGTATCCATTCGGTTCGTGACCAGAGGGCTGTGCAAAGAAGGTGGCGCGGCTGGACGACCCAGCTCAGCTTCAGCTTTCTCTTGCAGGACCCCCGCGCGAAGCAGAGCGCGCCCTGGCGCAGTGTTTGGCGGAGAGGCCAGAGATTGTGACAAGGTCGGCGGGGGAGTCCGTGGAAGCAGGCGTACAGTCAAGATGCTGAAATCATTAAAGAACAGCTTGGGTACGAAAGGGGCTCGATGCTCCTCAGGTCATTCCATGGTTGATCCTCTAGCCCTGCTCGTGCTCGCTGGCGCTTTGGGGCCAACAAGGGGCTTCGTTCCTTCATGACCGTTCCTTATTCCAGGGCCCGACTGTGCTCAGCCACGCGCGGAGGGGGGTAGGGGGAGGGAAGGCTTCTTAGACGCACCCCTGCTTCTTAGAATGCGCGGGCCTTCTCTACAGATGTAAGGCCGGCGCCTTCTAAGAATCAGCCTCCTTCAAAGAAGCCTTCCCCCTCCCCCTGCCCCCCTCTGCGCGCCGCCAATGTGCACATGGCACGTATCCGTGCACCGCAGTGCTTGGCCAGGGCCGTTCTGAGCCCGAGGGTAGTGAACGTGGACCCGCCCTTGTGCCTCGGCCAGGAGGGCGTGCACGCCATGCCAGGGCCCAGGTGCGCCTGGCCAGGCGTGGTGGCGGTGGTGCACGGGTGCCCTGAGTCGAAGAATGAATGGTTGGCCGATTTTCCACGACCGCTACCATAATTAGGACGGGGGAAAAGGGAGGATGAGTAGGTCCTCCTCCTCCTCCTCCTCCTCCTCCTCCTCCTCCTCCTCTTTCTCCTCTTTCTCCTCTTTCTCCTCCTCCACCTCCACCTCCTCCCTCTCCTACCTATGGGAGTGGTGGTGGAACATCGGCCCATCAAGGAAAGCGCCATGGACATATTGTTTCGGACGTCCGCGCGGAGTTCTTGGATCGGCGCTGGACCTCCCTCCCCGCGCCAGGGGCGGCGCTGGAGGCTCCGCTAGGGGGGCTAGCGCCGATCCAAGAAATCCAAGTGGGCCACCGAAAGCTTCTGCCGATGCAGGTGTTTCATCTTCTGCAGTCCACCCGCATGGTAAGGACGATCGACTTTCCAAGGTTACCCTTGCATCCTTCCCCTTCGGCCCATCCTTGGCCGCTCTCGCTGGCCGCGCCCCGCTCACAAAGTTTCGACATGGCCTTCCATGGCCGTGGCATCCTTCTCGGGCGAAAGATTTGCGCCGCGCCCACGCGATGGCGGCGCCGACGGCGACGACCGCGACGGCGGCGGGCGGCGACGGCGGCGGCGGCGACGACGGCGACGACGCCTGCGGTGACAACGACCTGCAGCGAAGGCGACGGCATCTGACCCCCCCACGGCGTTGTGCGTGCGTGACGCGTCGCGTCGTCCTGGGCGTGCCGCTCCGATCCGAGCTCACGGCCCCGCCGCCCCTGCGCCGGCCGAGGGGGGCGTGGCACGCGCTGCCCGGGCCTCGGGGGTGCCGCGGCCGGGCGCGGCGGCTGCTCGCGGGGTGCACCGCGCGTGCGCTGCGCGTCGAGTTCGCGTTGGTGGCTGCTCGCCGGGTGCACTGCGCGTGCGTGGCGCGTCGCGTCCCCTTGGGCGTGCCGCTCCGGCCCGCGCGCTGGCCGAGGTCGTGGAGGAAGCGCAGGCCGCGGCTCGCGCGGGGGCAGCTGCCCGACAGGCTGCGCGCCCGGGTGCCGCGCGCTCCGCCGTGTCGCTTCTCCGACTGGCGGCCCAGGTAGGGGCTGTCTCGAAGAACGGGATATTTTCCGAGCAAGGGCAGGGGAGAGGAGAGTAGGTCTCATGCTGTGCAATTTTGGATGGGGTGGCAGCAATGAAGGGCAGGGGTCCTGGAGGATAGGGTCCTGGAGGTCCTTCGCCGTTTCTGGGGCTCCAGGAGCCCTCCCCAGGCCTCAGGACTCTCAGAACGACTCGGGATCAGGAGCCAGTTCTAGATGTCCAGATGGGGGGGCGGGGGGGGGGCGCCGCGCGCAGAAGAGGGTAGAGGGAGGGGGGAAGGCGCGGGCCTCACAGCTATAGATAGGTCCGGTGCCTTCTGAGAAGCGGACTCCTTGGAAGCCTTCCCCCCTCCCGCTACCCCTTTGTGCGCGACGCCAAAGGGGAGGGAATGGAAGGGGACTCTGAGGGATGAGGTCAGGAGAGACAAATACACAGACGCAGGTAATCGTCGATTCCTAGGAGAAGATGGGAACATCTAGGAAGTGGGGGGGACGAAAATCCAGAAAGTCTGGACAATTATGGGGAATTTTGGGAGTTGTGTCTATTTATTTGTTTGTCCCTGGGCCCCTTCGAAGGGAGAGGGAAAAGGGACCGTGAGGGATGGGGGAGGGGCGCTCTAGAGGTCGGGAGCCCTCGCCCCCTCGCCTCCCTGCCCAAGCTCCAGCCTCCTCCCGTGTGCCTCGCTCTCCCAGGCAGCCCACAGAGGACGTACGCGCCCGTTCACGTACCAGGGCTCGAGCCTTGTTGGTCCTTTTTGCTTGGGGGATAACGATTTTGGATGGTTTGGTCTGAGACCTCTGCTGAAAAAGACCCCTTATCTCAAATGTTTTTGGCCCTCCCAACTTAGGTCCCCTCCTTGATCGAAGGAGAACACCTGCATACACATAATTTGCTTGGCCCCGCGCGGAGCGCCAACAGTTTACGTAGGTTTACGCATTATTTTTTACATCCACATTCTTTTGGCCCTCCTAACTGAAGTCCCGTCCCCTCCTTAAGGGTAAGGGGCACTTTTTTATTGCTCATCCCCCGCGCCGCTCCGCCGAAGGCAGCCTCCTCCTGCGTGCTTCCTGCTTCACTCTCCCTGGGAGCCCACAGAGGACGTACGCGCCCGTCCACGTACACGCCCTCGAGCTAAACTCGAAGAATAGTAAACTACATAAGCATACACTTTTGGCGCTGAAGGAAACCAAAAACAAAGAGGAAGACGACAACACTGTTTAGCTCGAGCCCCTGCCACGTACATGAAGACGGCCCCCCTGTCCTCGAGGCCTGCCTCGTGATAGAAACGTTCGCGCAGTGCCTACTTTCGAGACGAACGTGGGCTTATGTGCGTGCACGTCCGCAGTTGGCCCCCGATCTCCTCCCGTCTTCCGAGTGCCCACCCACCCGAGAACTGCTTGGCTATGCCCTTCAGTTTTGCCTCGATGCCTCCTTCAGCATCCCGTGCGGGCTGATTGGCTTGACGTCGCCGCTTGGCGTGTGGCCCGTCTTCGCCGGCAGTCGGTGCTGACCATGTCGCCGCGTCCTCCTCGCCTCCCCTCCTTCCACCCTTCCAGACTTCCCCTCCTCTCGCAGCACATCCCCACAGTTGCGAAGTCACTTTCGCCGCGTGCCTCGCCGCGTGGCTCGGCACGCAGTGTGAGCCTCACAGTCTTCCCACGCGCTGGCCCTTCGCGTCCCCCCTGGTGGTTATCCTCTGTCGCGGCAGTGAGCGGTGACGAAAATCCTGACGGAAGGCTGGACGACGTCCAACACGAGTGACCCGCTGATCGTCTCCGGCCTCGGTGCGGACGAAGATCACGCTTAGCCTGGTTCCATCATCAATCGCCAAGTTCGGATTTCTTATTGGTGCCTCGTGATCAATCACGTTTCTGCCTGTCTTCGTCGATGTATACTTTTTCACTTCGGCCAGTCGCATGGCGCTGGCCGAGCGAATCTGCAAAGCAGCGATTTGAGGGCGGCCCTGAGCAAAAAGTTCACGGCAGAGGCTCGATATCCTCCTTGCCCATTAGCGTCGCGGATCACATCAACGACACTGTTGGCTGATTGGCAGACCGGGAAGGAGCAATTGCCTTGCCTTCTGCCCCCCGCTGGATGTGGGCTTCCACGATCCAGAGGCTGGGTCTTGTGACGCGGTGGGCCTCTTCGACCCAGACGCGGGCTCTCACGATCCAGAGTGCGAGTCCTGCGTCTGTTGAGGGCCTTTCACAGAGAGCAGCGATGCGTTGCCAGAGGCCGCAGAACCCGCGAATTGCCTCTTCATCAAAGTTTTCCACGCTCTCGTTGATTTCGAAAGCCGAGTGTGCCATGTCCTACCAGCGTTGGCTGACGTGGTGTAAGATAGTCGGGTCGAGAAGCTGGCACGCAATCAAGAAATCCAGAAGCCAAGCACGCAAGCAGGCATTCAGGACAACAATACGCAAAGGAAACCAGCAAGTAAGCCACACATCAAACCAGCAAGCAAGCCAGCAAGCAAGCGCAACCCGCATGCGCAACCCGCCAGCCCGCATGCGCAACCCGCGTGCGCAACTGGCATGCTCACACTTGGACAGCTTGGTTCCGCGAGGGCGCCAGCCCGACTGGTGCTTGAGAGCACAGCAGAATCCATCGGGCCGTTCGTGCCTCGCAGGCCATTCGCGTGCTGCCCGCGTGCGCAACCCGCAACTCGCCAACTCGCATGGACAATCAGGATACGTGCACTTTGCAGACTTGGTCCCGCGGGGCAGCCACCCCGGTCGATGCTCGAGAGCAGAGGACAGTACATGCTCCGCTGGCTGCCTGCACCTCGCAAACTCGAGGGTGAGCCTGCAGCCCCGTCCCAATACACCCCTCCTCCTCCTCCTCCTCCTCCTCCTCCTCCTCCTCCTCCTCCTACCCAATGCTTGTCCCCCCTCACCTTCGGCTCTTTCAGTGTGGTCCTCGTCTTCGCTCTTCTTCCTCTCCTCGCCCTCTTCCCTCCTCCCTCCTCCCTACCTCCCCTCCTCCCTCCCTCCCTCCTGCTCACCTGTTGTCGCCCCAGTGCCCCTCTTCCCCTCCCCTTCCTGGTGCCAGCGCTCGTTGCCTCATCCGCTTCGTCATCCTCCCAAACCCTCGACATCCTCCCACATCCAGGCATGGCGTTTAGTAGCAATGGGAGATATTGGGTCCGATAGGCCTTTGCTTTGCACCCAGGCATGTCCGCGCGGATGTCTTGGGTCGGCGCCGAACCCCGACGCGCTTGGCGCGGTGGGGGCTTCTCAATAAAGGCCTTACTAGCCTGCCGATTCGGCCGATTTCGAGGGCCTTACGGCCGGTGCCGCCGACCCTGAAGGGTCACGACATCCGAGTGATGGCAAGTCTTTGGAACATCTTGTGGGCTTCTTAGGGCCTCTTGGGAACCTGTGGGGGCCTCCTGGGAGCCTTTCGGGGCCGAGGGCTCGAAATGTCCATTCGGGTCTGGATGTTCTTCTAGCTCAGGTCCGACTGTGGAGGTTCCAAATCGTGGAGCACCTGACGAAGTCCGAACTCTACCCCCGCTTCCCATCAATTCGGGAGGGTTGCTGATTGGTGGGGGTAATGCTTGGTATTGTGGGTATTCGTGGCCAACCCAGTGGAAGAAAAGCGCTGTTCTTGTTTTCCTACAAATCTGTTCTGCCCGAGTTCGGCGTCGCAAACATCAGATTCCCAACGCCGTTACCATTCGTTGGCATGCGTCGTTTTTGCATTAGCGACGCCGGCGAAGGCATTCAAGGTTGAATTCTGCGACGCGGAACCTCCGAGGGACACGTTGGCGACACTGGACCCGACGTAATTCAAGGTTGAACGATCGACACAGTGTCAAACACCTCTGCGCGCGCCGACGCCGCGCGAACCTACCGTATCACGATATCTGCACGCGCTCCCTGGCTTCCGACGCGGGTTTGCCGACGCTTGTTGTCGAGCGCGTTTTAGATGTCGACGGTCTAGTCTCCGTGGGATGCTTGCAGCGGGAGCTCGCGTCAGATTTTTCAGACTGGGTCCCGTCTTTTCCATCAACCCGAGTCCCCCGAACCCGAGTCTTACAGTCGGACCGAGGTATAAGATCGAGCTCGGTTCGGGGAGGTTTTTTTTGAAATCCGCGGGGGGAATAACCAATCCGTGTCCCCAATCCGTAGGCGTATGAGGACACCACGCAGCTCGCAGAGCTGCGGCGACCGTTGTGTGGCGGTCCCCACTTATGGTACGCAACACATGCAATTACGTAAATATGTAGTGTAATCCCACATATATGTAGACTGTGTACCTGGAGAATAGAAGACACCAGCCCAAAGAAGAACTGAAGTACATCATAATCCAATTGTTGACACATGCGATCCAAGTAATAACCATTGAATACGGTTATAAACTATTGTCGGAGGAAGTGGGTGCCTGTGGTTTCTTGTGTCGGTGGTCCAGCGCACGCTGCCTCATGTTTGCCATAGCCAAGACCATTTTTATCCAAGTAGTCGTGGTCCTCCTGGTGAGGTCCTCTGTCGGCCAGCCCAGCCGGCGGGTGAGGTCTGCCGTTGGTACCGCGATATCTTGCCGGAGGTCGGCGTTGGCTGTGCACACCCAGTACATGTGGTCGAGCGTCGGGACGCGCTGCTCACCACAGTGGTCGCAGGTGGTCGAGACCTCCTCGCCTTGGTTGGACTGCAGCAGGGCGTCCGAGACCACGCAGCCGCAGAGGACGGCGGCGATGTGTGAGGCGAGGACTGGGTTAGCTTTCCGTGCTTCCTGTGCCGCGCGCACGGCAGCAGCTGGGAAGGGCACTCCGGCCGCCATGGGGCTCTCCCGCCGGCTCCGGCCCTGTAGGATTGCCCATTCGTGGGATCGGAGTATGAGTCGTAGTTCGTGGAGCTGTCGGTCTGTTCTGTCGGTAATTCGGAGTTCTCCCGCCGGGCCTCTCCAGAAGCCGTCGTCGCTGAGCTCTGCCCCAAGCGA